TCAACAAAACACTAAACAAATGCTTGACATTCTACAGTCAGTGCAGCAAAACAGATTTTTCTAAGCAAGTGCATTTGGCTAAATATTTAGCACAAAGTGTGGCATACCATGCCTTACCTGTGGCTGAAATCCTAATCTCTGTCACTCAGTATTCTCATAATGTTTGGAGTAAATACAGTGAGAGAATCTCTCTGTACAGTCCCACAGAACACAGCTGCCTCTAGAGCTGACACAGTTGTACACATTGCAGGAATTACAAGTCTTTTTTAAAACATCAGTAAGTACCTTGTGTAGTATCCTTTCTCATTTCTCCGGTTACTCCATTGTGTGTGGAGATATACACACAAACAAGAGGTAATGGTATCACTAAAACACAAAAAGGTCAGGAAGAAATTAACCTACAGATAAATTTGTATATCACTTCAAACCAAGGTCATCCATCTTTTTAGGAAAAGCACTAAAAAAGGAACCTAATTGAAATTAAATCAATTCTAAGAGATATATGTGCATATTTACTAGCAGAGAGAAAGTATCCTAGTTTTGCTTGTGCTTGATAGCAAAGTGTTTACATAATGAATAAAAACATCTGTTAATTACCTCTGTGCTGCACCATTGCTTTAAATGTGCTTGGATATCTTGGAGCATTCAGTTTCAGATAATTATTTCTGATGAATGGGTGTATATTTAAAATGTTTTGTAGTGGGATATTTAATTCTTCTTCTAACTAGAGTGCTTTCATTATAATAGACTCCACTTTCCTTCCTCAGTAGACACAGAAACATCATTCATTTAATAGCAGAATTTGTAGATAGTCTTTTAAGGTTTCATTTGGTAGGGTATTTGTTTAGTGGTGATTGTTACAAATTTCTTCTTCCATTTGATTTTGGCATGTTTTAAATAGCTTTTTATTCCCCATCTACTCACCAGTGGCTGGGTGATTTAAAGGGTCTACCCTTCATAGGTGTAAAAAATTATTACAACATCAAAAAATCACAGTCCTGATGGAGAATTTATTTTTAGATTACTTTTACTAATCGTTTTTTAGTTAGAAACAACTTCTCTACTTATTAGATAAGCAGGAAAAAAAAATAATTTCTAGGATCACTGATTCCAGCTTCGAGCAGCAGTAGGTTAAGAAATCATTGTGAGGAGAAAAGAGCTACAGATGTACAAACTGTGCACTGTGTAAGAAAGGCTAAATAACTGGTCATCTGTCCTGATGGGGTAAGTGCCACTTTGAGAGAAGGATCGCTGCTGGGGATTTGCCTTCTTCCACACATTCATGAAAATAAAATGGGAAGCAATCTTCTGGAGTTAAGAAGGAGACAAAATTAGAGTACAATGTGATAGTTGCTCTAAGGACTGAAACTCAGGTCTTCTGAGGGGACACAGATTATGTGCAATACCCTTGAAATACAGTATTTAAAGAATCTGAAGTGATTATAGAGACAGAAGATGTGGGTGGTACAATTAAACTTTGAGGTCAGGTAGAATGGAGAAAGCTTACTGAAAAAGAGGTTCAAATACTAAGTTTTCTTAAAAATCCCTACAGATGGGATAGAGGCCTTTAAAGAAATGAAATAGTGAAATAGTAACATGGAATTTTAATAATACATTACATTACTTCTTGCCATATTTTGTCTCTTTATTGGCTACTTAGATTATTATTTAGAAGAGAGGTACTGGTATGCTTTTTCTATGTGATGTCTAGCAAGTAACTTAAATTATCTGTCATCCAAACCTGTGAATTTTTCCAATCTAAACCTCTTTTGATGTAACTGGAGGCCATTTCCTGTTGTCCTTGTTACTTGGGAGAAGATGCCAACCCCCAGTTTTCTATAACCTCCTCTCAGGGAGTTGTAGAGAGTAATAAGGTCTCTCCTGAGCCACCTCTTCTCCAGGCTAAACAACCCCAGCTCCTTCAGATTCTCCTCATTGGACTTGTGCTCCAGACACCTCATCTGCTTCATTGCCTTCTTTTGGTCACTCTTATCATATGTATGGAGATTTTATGAGGTTTTCTAATCAAGCACTTTGTTCCAGGGTATGATCAGTGAGGTAAATCCCTTTTTCCTCTCTGGTCCTCCGGCTAGCTCTGGACCAGAGAGGGGTGGGAAATCCTCATAGACAAAGGCAAAAAAAACAAAGAAGGCTCTATTCTCCTGTGAGAAGATGATCCACAGTTTATTCTGTCCACATGGCGAAAGGAGAAAGAGAGAGAGAAAGGGAAGATGGCGGGCACTTTTAAACTCAGGGAAAGGGGAGAGGAGGAACAGACCCATTACCAATGGGCTAAGGAAGGACTAAACCAACTTCACAAGCCCCGGAGATACAGGGCAAACAATTTTCTCAGTGCAATATGTAAACATAACAGTGCCATAGACAACCATGAGCAGTGCAACTTATGAACAAACAGTGCAATACAACATCTCCACCTTTTTTGTTAAATAAAGTTAAGAGAAAGGCGTTGGACTTATTCTGATTCAGAATATGGATTTGCCCACTACTTATGATTTGTGGGCAAATTAGACTGTTTATGGTTTGTTAACTCCATGTGGTTGACTTCTGAGGTAGCAGAAATTAAGCCATTTATTGCTTTGAAAATTAAGCAACATAGAATTGCAAACGCCAACACTATAAGGAAAGGAACAATAAAAAAAGACAAAATTGTTTTAACTATTGAAGTCCACCACCCTGCTAGTCCCCAGCCTTTGAAGAGTTCACTGAACCAATTCTCGGACTTCTGCTTCACTTGTCCAATCAAGCTTTTCATGTCTGGGAGGGCTGCGTGGATATTGGGAGCTTTTGAGGTCAGCTTCATGCAACAAAGTCCTTCAAATTCCTGGCATTTGTGTCCATGCAGCAGCAGGAGGAAGTCTATGGCTGCTCAATTTTGGAGTGTGGCCTGCCTGTTAATTTCCTCATCTTCTAGGAGGGAGCTAATGGCGGTGGATGTTAAGTTTGCCTGTTTGACCACCCAGCACTCTAGGTGGCACAATTCACCCAGAGCTTTGGCTACTGCAATTCATGGAAGGAACAGGGAAGCAGCAATTCTTTTTGACTTGGTCCAATGAAAAATTTCTGAATCATAATTTAGGTCCAATTGGTCAGCACTTCTCTTTTGAATTTTGTTGGCCAAATTGTTTTTGCACGTCCATTCACCAATCGAGGTTTGGTTGGGTGCTAACAGGGACAACCACCCGATGGTACACGGCCCTCCAAAAAGCTGAGAAGGGATTCCTGCCCATGCCCGATCTCTGCAAATTAAGAACAGACCCTGATGGAGGCTTTTGGGACTTGAATGGTATGAGTTGTCTGCTGCAACATGACTCAGAATATTCCACTACCTTTTGGAGGTGAATTCCTCTCGATATTGTACTATGTTCTGAAATGCTTTGGTGCTAGATAATGGGCTGAAGGTAAAGTGAATGCAGTATGGTGCTGGGGAGGAACTCAATAGCTCTAATTCTTGGGGTTCCTGCGCTGCCTTGGGAAAATTTGGCAACCACTCCTTCACAGGATTCTTAATCATTACAGCTCTCTGCCTATGATTTTGGTGTTATTGGATGCTGTGTGACTTCAGACCTGGGTTAGGCATAGGTATGTCAAAGCTGACTGGATATTCTCCAGGCTGCAATGGGATCCCTACCAGGAAGGTAGACATAGGGTCTCTTGCTGCTTCAGTGGACAGGCATATATTTTCTTGTTGGAGTGTCTGTGCCAGGGTCACCCAGATGTTTTGGCGTGGCTGAGGGACAATCCAAGCAGCTGTCAGACTGCTCAGTGCAAACAGGATGACGACTGGGATAGGGCTCATCAGGAGGTTGGATGGGACATATATTTTTTCTACAAAACAAAAACAAACATTTTAAAGCATATTAAAAGTCAGGGTGTCTGCTGGAATGGAACCAGATCTCAGGAAGGTTTTCTCTCCTCCTTCTGGTGGTGTCTCCTTTATGGTAAACATGGCTTTGCAGAGCTTTTGTTGTGGTGACATCCACACTGTTGAACTGCTCTGTCCAGCCAGGACTTGCTTGAATGTCTGATGGGCAAGCTCAACCACAGCTTGGCCTGTGAGGGAGGGGAGAATGCCGGTTTTATGTTCCACTCCCCACTGCTGAATAAAGTTCAGGAATTCCCTGGATGTATACACTGGACCATTATTGGTCTTGATTTCCCTAGGGATCCCCAGCACTGGAAAGTCTTGCACTAGGTGTTGTTTGGCATGCACAGCCCTTTCTCCTGCGTGGGCAGAGTCATAAACCACACCTGAATATGTTGTAATGCTTGTATGTACATATTTGAGGCAACCAAAACTGGGAATGTGTGTTACTTCTGTCTGCCATACTTTGCAGCTCCCAAGGCCTCGGGGGTTAACCCCAACACCCAGCGATGACTTGGCCTGGAGCTGGCAACTGGGACAGGTAGCCACAATGGCCCAGGCCTGACTCCATGTTATTTGGAACTGACAGATCAGACCTGGCACATTCTGATGATATTGCTGGTGGCTCAGCTTTGCCTGTTGAAAGGTGTCTGGGAGGCGTGCCTTTTCAGCTGGGGCAGCAAGGGAGTCTGCTTTACAATTCCCTTCTGTGATTTCACCTGGCAAATTGGTATGTGACCTCACATGCCTCACATAGAACAGATGATCTCTATGCAAAACTAATAAATTAGTTTTGAAAGCAACCTGGAGAGATGCTCATTCTCGATGTCTTTGAGAACTTCCTGCTCTGCCCTGTACACTACCCCTATGTAGTAGACACTCAGCCACGTAGGCTGAGTCGGTTACCAAATTAATTGGCTCCGAGAACTTCTCAAAGGCTCTCACGACTGCAGCCAGTTCAGCAACCTGGGGCGACCCCTCCACAAACTCAACATAAGCTTTTCAATGTAGGCACACATATTGAGAAAGCAAGAAAATTACAGCCTGAAAAATATTCCAGGCCAGAGCTTCTCAGCTCGGTTCCCAGCCGATAAGCTGGTCCAGCTGAAGGCTAGGGAGAATTTCTCTCAGGGTGATAACTTGGTCAAAATAAAGAGGAATTTAATAACAAAGATAGAACAACTGTTGTGGTGCGTGACCAGGCGCTGGGAATGGGGTGTCTTCTCTCTGAACCAATCATCTTTCTTCTGTCCTTGGACTTGTGAGTCGTTCTATTTAAGCAAGTATGCTTCTGAATAAACTTGTCTCTCTTTCCTATCATGAAAGAGGACCATGTAGCTGTGTGTTTTATTTCCGCTGAATCCAAAGGGTTAATACCCCTTTCCACGGCTACATCCCAGTGCTGAGTCTGGGGATTTCTCCAAGTCAACACCAACTTGTGGGATGCCCCGGACGTGTCAATGAACACTGTGAGAGCTTTCAGCAGCCTACGGCTCCTTTTCTCATGAGGAATGAGGTGGAATTCCTTATTAAACAGCTTGTGTGACAGGGCATGGACTGATACTTGTCCACTGTAACTGTCCAGAGATAACTGGAGGTTGGCATTACTCTGGAGCAGGTGCTCAAACATCTCCTTGGTCAACTTCTTGGGAGAGTTCTTTCCCTCCTTAGAAAGTTTGACCAGGAGGTGAATACACACAAAGTCACAACCAGCCAGCTCACACAGTCTTACCCAGGCTTTCCTGATCAGCTGAGCCATCAGTCTTGTGGTTTTGTGATGGTCTTGGATTGTTGATGGGAGAGGAAAACCCACTCTATGATTAAGAGTGGATCTTTCTGCCCTTGACCCATTGGAATATTAAACCATGCCAGTGTGGCAACTTTCCCAGGACAATGAATTTGAAAGGCAGCTCTGGCTGATAACGGTGAGCCTGCCTCTCAGCCAAGGCCTTATGTGCCTTTTGGATTGCGGTTTTTGCCTCTAGGGTCAGTTCCCTGGGAGAGACCAGCTCTCTCTCCCCATTCAATAAATTGAGGAGGGGGCTTAGATCCTCATTGGTGAGGCCTAACTAAGGTCTCACCTAGTTTAAGGACCCACATAGGGAATGGAGATCTGCTAGGGTCAGATTTCCAATTTCTGTGGAACAACAGTCCGCACAGTGACCTCCAAGCCCAGGTACTTCCAAGGTGGCATCCTTTAGACCTTGTCTTCCTGCAGTTGGAATCCAGCAGAGGTTAAAACTTTAACCACTAGGTCAATTGTGTGTTGGAGTATAGAGTCATCAGGGGTGCACAGAAACACGTCATCCATGTATTGGAAAATGATGGCCTCCCTTTTTTGGGTGCACACCGGGGACAGCAATGAGGCCACGTACCACTGGCCGATGGAAGGACTACACTTCATGCCTTTCAGCAATACTTTCCAGTGGTAGCGCTTCATTGGGGCTTCTCGATTGATGGTAAGAACCGAGAAGGCGAACTGTGGGGCATCTTCTGGGTGTAGGGGAATTCGGAAAAAACAGTCCTTGATGTCCAGGACAGCCAATTGCCAATTTCAGGGAAGCATCATTGGGGAAGGTATCCTGGGTTGGAGTGACTCCATGTCCTCAATTACTTTGTTTATTTTCTGGAGGTCATGGAGGAGCCACCACTTCTTCTTTCTTGGCTTCTTAATCACAAAGACTGGGAAATTCCAAGGGCTGGTTGTCTCTTCAATGTGGCCTTTGGCTAATTGCTCCTCCACAAGCTCCTCGAGCTCCTTAAGCTTTTCCTTACTTGATGGCCACTGACCTACCCATATTGGGGTGTCATCCAGCCATGTTAACTTGTGGGTAAGACGCTCCACAGTGGCTGCCTCTAAAAATCCTGGGGAGTCTTAGGGATAACTAATTTGACCTCCCCACTGGGACATGGTGTCTATCCCCCACAGGGGGCACTTGTAGTCAGTGACAAACAGACGGATACTGGGCAATTTTCCATCTGGGCCTTCAATTTGCACGATGCTTTTTGAGATCTTTGCCAATTTGACCCCTCCTACACCTTGGATTTTGCCAACCAAGGGTTGCAATTCCCAATGTGATGGCCACATTCTTTTAGGTATGATCATCACATCTGCCCCCATGTCAAGCAACCCTTCCACATGATGATGGTCTGACCCACGGGTTACGTTGCATGCCATAGAGGATTTGTCCTTGCCAACCACTTCTGCCCAGTAGACTGCCCAGGTGCTTTTTCATCTACTGGGACCTCTGCTGGAATGGAAATGGCCTAGGCAAGGATTTGCCCCTTGGCCAAATAGAAGGGTGGCTGAGGGCAGCACGCCAAAAGAATGAGGTGAGTTATGCCTCCCTTGATGGTCATGGGAGCCACCTCAATCTCCAGGGGTGTGTGTGCAGTGTCCCCGATAACAAAATACTCACTGCTGTCCAGTCCCATGTTGTTTATTGTCACATCCTGTGAGTTGTCCAGCAGGTCCACTGCAATGACCATCCAACCAGTAGATCTGAAAAGAAAAGCTTTGGTAGTCACGAGCCTGAAATACCTATGAGGCTGCCAAACTTTGTTAAGTAAACATTTGTCATTTTTATTTTCCAGCTGTCCTGTATCCTGCTTCCCTTCCTCCCCCTTTCTTGTTAAGGGAGAGACTTTCCCCACTGTGGAGCTCTCCCCCTTTTTTGTTAAGAGAGTGGCTTTCCCCACTGAAGAGCCTGCTATATTTATATCATGGCACTGGGCGAGCCTGCACTCTGGTCTTAGTTTTTTTGTTTGTTGGTGTCTCCTTCTCTTTGATTTTTCTTCCTGTGTTGCTGGCTTTCAGGACAGTCTCTGGAAAAGTGTCCTGGCTTCTTGCACTGGAAGCAGATGACATGTTGGAGCTGCTCTGGTGACATCGGTTGCCTCTTCACTCCTGATGTTACAGTTGCTGCAGTCTTTGGGTTTTCCAGTCCCAGCTTCCTGTCTGGTGCACAGAATTCTGCTTTCTTAGCACAGGCTTCAATCATCTGTGCTAGTGGAGGTGAAGAATCGATAGGCAGACCTAGGATTCCCCTACGGCAGGCTTCATTGGCATTTCTCTGAGCCATCTCCTTAATAAGTTCTGCCTGTGCCACTGGATCATCTACTTGTCTTTCCACCTGCACCAATGCGGTCCAAAAACTGCCAGAAACTTTCTGAGGAATATTGTTTAATATTAATATAACTACCTTTAATTTCAAACGTTGGTAATTGGTTAAAAACCTTTTCTGCCATGCCACAGATTTTATCCAGAATGAATTTGGGTAACACCCGAGCTTGGTCCTCAGGGTTAGCCCACTCCCCTTCTCTGCATAGATGTTCGTAGGTGATGTTATTCCCATCTGCATCTGTTGCATCCTGGGTGCTTTGCTTAGGTTCCCCCAGAAGTCCCTTCAGAGATGTCTTCCAAGTGTTTTCCCACAGGTCAAACTTTGAGGGGGTTAGGAGACACTGGAAGAGATCTTGGAGATCGGCCAGGACTAATTTGTGGGATGTTAAGGTAGCTTTCAACATTGCCTTAAAGATCCCACTACCTTGGCCAAACTCCCTTTGGGTTTTGCAGATTTCCTTTTTGTTTTGGTAGGAGAAAGGCTGATAGGTACTAATTCCATTTCTCCTGCCAGTATATATGACAGGGACAGCTGAGGATATGGTTTCCTCCAGCTGGCTTTGATTATCAGGATACCATCCCCCGGGGTCCACCCCCCCGCCCCCACCCCCATGGAGACCAGGAAGAGGCCTACCCACCCTCCCGGAGGAATGGGGAGGTGGCTCTGCCCTCACCCTGTGGGAAAAGGGAGGCACCCCAGCCCCCCACCCCTAGTGGGAACCGGGAAGCAGGGCATTGCATTCCCCACCCTCACCCCCGCAGCAACAGGCAGGCGGCCCACCTCCCTCTGCACTGGGATTGGGAAAGGGTCCACCCCACCCCCCACTGGGACTGTGCAGCACACTACTCCCCCCTGCATGGGAGATGGGAGGCAGGCCCCCCACCCCCTCACCGTTGGGACCAAGAGGCAGGGCATCGCCACTCCCCGCCCCTGCGGGGGAACCGGGAGGGGTCCCACCCCCTCCACATGCGTGGCAATCAGGAGGGAGACCACGCCCCCACACGTGGGAATTGGGAGGGGGAGTGCAGCAACTCTGTCCTCGCTTCTGTGCCAGCCCAGAGGAGGGGCGTGGGAAACTGGAACATGAGAGGAGGTGGAGCCACCCTGGAGGGAGGGGCAAGTGTGTGAACCAGGATTGCAACACCTGGGGGCGGGGTTGCAGGATGACATCGTGCAGGGTGCGAATATGGAGGAAGGAGGGGGAGTGTCCGAGGGGAGGAAGAGGTTGGGGGGGAAATGGGTTGGGGGTGGGGACAAGCGGGTAAACGAGATTGTGGGAATAAAGGTAAGATGGAGGATCAGCCACGTGGCCACTGCCATATTGGACCCCTCCCATGAGGTCGGCGCCATTTTGGATCCCCATCACATGGTCACTGGCATGTGGGTAGGGGGGTTCATCTTTACACTGAAGCTGGGGTGTGGGAACTGGGGTAGAGGGGTGAAGGGAAGGTACTCTCTTAGTCTGCAGACAACTGCCAGAGTCAGGGTGCTGGACAAGAGGCGAGGGGCCAGAAAAGCTGCAGCTGTGCTGGGTTACCTGTGTTTCTTGGGGTGCCCTGTGCGTCTCGTCCAGCTCAGGGGCTGAGGGTTTGGGAGGAAAGTTAGAAGAAACCTAGGTTATTTGCTGTGGCTGTCTCTTTATTTCCCTTCCTATCAATTTTTTTTTAATTAAAATGAACAAAGGAAAATATTTTGATACTGTTTTGTATCCCTGTTCCACTTTGAGAGTTAAGAAGTTTCCAATTTCATCCCAGGAAGAGATAGAATCTACATTTTGCAGAGTATCTTGAGGAAAACTAAGAGATAACCGGCACACAAATTGCTGTAACTTTTTCTTAGAGATGGTAACATTACCACTTCTTAAGATATCCCAAACTTGGGAATATATGTTTCTTTGTTGTGTAGAAAGTTAACAGCCCATTTTGATGTTAAAAGCAATCTACACAAACTCGTTTACCTTTCTTCGCAATACAACCAGGGCAGGGACAGGTCTGCTGCCTTTCCCTCCCCATGTGACGCTGGGGTAGGAGGAGACACTGCACCAACACGCTGCGCAGCTTTTAAACTGCCGCCAGCAAGAGCCGTGCCGCATCTGCTTGCAGTGCTGCTGCTGCTGCCAGCAGCTCCTGGCGCGAGTTGTGCTGAGCTGCGCCACTCTGCCGACCTCCCTGCGGGACCTGAGTGGCAGCTCCGCCACCTGAGACAACCCCTCCACGCGCCACCGTGGGAGCTGCTTACAGCCATTCCCCGCACCACAGCGCCGCATGTCCCGCATGCCTGCTGCTCCAAAATTCGCCACGCCACTCCAGCCACGCGCTCGATGCCTTTGTCCCCTCGGCGGAAACCCAGTCCCGCCACAACTAGGGGCTATACTCACCCCTTCCTGGGGCCCTCGGCGCTGCAGAGTCATTGCAAAGGAAGTCCCCGTCCAGACCGACCCACCTCTGGGCTCAGGCGAGCTACTGGTCTATCAGTGACTGCTGTGTAAAAAAGGCAGCTCGTGCCATCAGAGTAGCTGTATGATCCAAAGGCTTATAATTCATAAGTGGAATCCAGCCTTTCTTGTAGGTCCTCTAATCGTATGGGAAGCCCCACGTTTGGAGTACTAGCTGAGGTAAATCCCTTTTTCCTCTCCAGTCCTCCGGCTAGCTCTGGACTAGAGAGGGGTGGGAAATCCTCATAGACAAAGACAAAGAACCAAAGAAGGCTCTATTCTCCCATGGGAAGATGATCCACAGTTTATTCTGTCCACATGGCAAAAGGAGGAAAAGGGAGAGAGGGAAGATGGCGGGCACTTTTAAACTCAGGGAAAGGGGAAAGGAGGAACAGACCCATTACCAATGGGACGCCACCAACAGGGAGGGGCTAAGAAAGGACTGAACCAACTTCACAAGCCCCAGGGAGATAGAGAGCAAACCATTTTCTCAGTGCAATATATAAACATAACAGTGCAAAATAGAACTATGAACAGTGCAACTTATGAACAAACAGTGCAATACAACAGATCAGTACAAACCTTTTCCCAAAATATTTGGTGCCAGAAGCTATACAAGCAACTCAAGACATGAGCTAAATCACAGCGTCCTTATATTCCCAATGTGCCTGCCATAGATTGGTTTCAATTTTGTATGAGGTATATGCATAGATGTCGTGTTAGGATGAACACTGCAGGAAATGCCGCTGGAAGGGTAGGAGTAGTGGTAGATCCTTATGCAATTGGATATACTGACATTTCCTGGATGCAGTAAGTACCATACTTCTTTCAGTTTTCTGGACCAAATTCAACACAGAGTTATGCACTTCAGTACTATATTGAGCTCAACTGGCATATAGGGGCTGAAGTCAGCATTAACTATAGCCATCTGTTATTTTGTCATGCTGTAGTCAATTATTTTTATTTAGCTCTTTCAGTCATACAAAATAAAACTGTCAAAGTTGTCAAGAATTCCAAGAAATGAAGCCTCTGAGCTGCTGCTCTGAGACTTTTAATATTTCTTCCAATACAGATCCTTGTGCGCTAAAATTCCTGCCAGAAGTATGTTTGGTCTGATAGTTTGATAGGATATGATCCAAAGGCTTGTGACTAGTCAGTAGAATAGATGCAGCAAAGAATTCATAATTTATCTGCATAGGCCTTGCAACAGTACATTCAGTAGTGCAGATATTAAAAACGTACATTTCTTTTTAGATAACTGCTTCTGGTGTCCACACAGTAAAATAATACCATCATGGTAGAGCATTCAGATATACAAAAGTGTAATTTAAATTCTTGGTGGTTTAAATTCGGTAATTTTTTCAAAAGGTGGAAATACACTGTAGAGTTCTTCATTATTTTCTTCCCTCAGAGCTACAGTAGCCTGCTGTTCCATGGGAAAGTTCAGCATCTATGAAGAAATTGTGGAACAAATGGTTTCTCTTTTTCAAAGTGATATATGAAGACAGACATTTAACTTTCTGGGGCACGGGTAGCTGAATGGGGCATTATATTTTTGCCCTTCTGTTGATTGCTGTCTTGGGGTACAATGCAAAAATGTGTATTCTATCACCATCTGTTAAAATGTAGGAGGGGTGGTGATCCTTATCTCTGTGGGAGATATCCTCTGCTGATGTGCCATCTGATAAAATCAGGGGGATGATCATCGTTATCTTTTCACAACCCATCCTTCCTCCAGAAGATATATTCTGTTAATGGGCCATTAAGTCCTATTGTGTGACTGATAACATTACATCATCCCATTGGGAGATGCCCCAGCCAGAGGCAGGAGCCAAGCCTTTCCTACCTAGATAAAAAACTGGGGTTTGGGATGCGAAGGCAGACCTTTCCACTGGATCCCAGAGGGAAATCAGACCTTTTCCACATCATCGCTGGATCTTCGGAGGAAAACTGCACCTTCTACAGGAGCACTGCTTCAACAGAACCACATCGGTCATCCAGGAGGACTGCAGCCACCATTTACACAGACTGCTACCAACACCCTGACTGACAGGGTGTCAGGTTGTATTCTGACTCTGTCAGTGTTTTTTTCTTTCGTATTATTGCATGTATTTTATTTTTTCTCTTTTTTCCTATTAAATTGTATTACTGACTTGGAGTCTCTCACTGGTTTTGCTTTCAAACCAATACAATTGCACCTTTCCAGAGGAGAGTTTTCTCATTTCTGTCATAAAACAAAGCATTTAGGATGAATAGAAAAATTTCGGGGCATTGTTAATTGTGGGATATTTTTAATAATTTTATAAACTACTATTTTTTAAACTGATTTTCTAATTTTGAAATATTATGAGGTCAAATAATAATACTGATTTAAAAATGCCAAATGAAATAGAACTAAGAGTAAAAAAATATTTAAGCAAAGTATTGTCCTTTCCAATGTCAGTTTTTCCTTTAAGAATTCTGATATCATCCATTTTCAGCTCTACATTCACAGAAGTTTCTTTTCTTTGCTTCAGCTGAATCCCAAGTAATCTGGTCTCTGTAATTACCCAAGATGAAAGGGGCATCCCAATTTAGCATATCTTCTAAAGGAAATGCCACATATGTTCCCTGACTTACTTAAAAAAAATTGAAACTCTGACATAACATTGGTTAAATTGTTGACGGATGCAATGATCAATTACAGCATGTTGTAATTCCAAGATTTCATTCTTTAAATGTCTCAGTATAGAAATAAGAAAAAATTGAAAGTCAAGTCAGAAAAGTTTCTAGACCTCAAAAGAAGAGAATCCATAAATTTCCTTTATTTCTTCAAAATAACACTAAAGAAATTAAGATTGTAAGAGGAGCTGCTCTGCTTGAAGAGACTTTCTATCTCAACTGGTTTTTTGGAAGGAGAATATGAGCAAATACTCAGAAAAGGCAGATTTTCACTGGAAACTGGTTCCATATTGTTGGGGGTTGAATTGTTCCCTTTTCTTTCTGTGGAATTTCTCCCATTGTTATGCTAAGTATTTGTGGCTACACTTTTGTAGTAAGAGTTTTCTTTCGCGGGGTGGGGGGTGAGGACAGGGGAAATACTGGAAAAGGAAAGGTGGGATGGGAGGCCTGGGCTCACACTCTCTCTCTCTCTCACTTGCTCCTGGAGTTGGAAGAAGATGCCCAGGGCATCCTCACATCCTAGCATCCTTCCCGCAATCCCAATGCCGGGAGCCACGTTCCCTGCTGTCAGACACTGCTCTGCTGCCTTCCCGCTTCACCCTACTGCCCCCGGGCACTGTGCCGAGCACCACGACCGACACCGTGAGGGGGAGCGGCTCCTCCATCCCCCTCAGCCCTGGGCCGCCGCCGCCATCACCCAGCGCCTTCAGCTGAGCGAGCCCTGCCCTGCCCACAGCACCGGGAACTGAGCGCAGGGAGAGGGAGCCTGTGGCCAAAAGGGACTGGAACTGAGCTACACTGCTCTGCTCTGGGGTCAGCTTTTATAGCTGATGGTGTTTCTGCTGTTTGCCTTGTTAGATGTATTAGTAAAGAACTCCTCCCATATCTTCTGCCTGAAAGTCCCTGATTTCAAACTATAATAATTGGGAGAGAGTTGCACTCTCCATCTCGGGGAAGGGGTTCTTGCTTTCCCTTAGCAAATACCTGTCTTTCAAACCAAGACACATAATGCTCAAAAGAAACATTTGCTCTATCAATTATTTCTCTGTGGTTATTCAGTTTCTCAAAAACTCCTATTTGAAAGAAAAGTCAAGAAGTCGTTTCAGGCAAGAGAACCTGTAGAACCAGTGTTAGCTCTCTCGGTCTCCTTCATGATGGGTTTTTTAAATGAGACATATTTCTGACCAATTTCTCAGTGTATCTCCCCTTAAATTAATTTAATCTAGTCAATTCAGCCTTTTGTAATTTCTAAACAAGGATTATTTGTGAATGCTGCACCATCAGCCTCATGTCTTTGGTATACTTTATCTTTACTAATAGAAGTCAAAGTATGGATTTATGTTAGTAATTTGGGTGCTGGGATTATATGATCTTTCATCAAATTGTTTAGACTTTCAGGAGGTGAGTGTTCTCAAAAGTAAAAATATTTTATGCATGCTAGAGAAGTTTAATTGCCTTCAGTCTTAACTGTAAGAGTTCCTCCTTCTTTTGCTTTTAGGAACCACATATTTCCTAAGATCTTACTTATCCTGTCTAATGCCAGAGTATTTATGACCCTGTACAGTAATGAGAAATTTTCCATAATACCACTTGTCAGAAAAATCAAGGGTGAGTCATTAGCACCAACTTAACATATGAGGTGACAAGACATGTAGGAAAGGGACAAAAGAGACATAAGAATCCCTGAGAACAGCAAAATCCATTGGAAATAAAAACTTTTGTCATAGAGTATATGGTTTGCAGTTTATAATTCCAAAGGGCATGGCTTTTTGTCTAAACTTTTCAAGAGTTAGTTTTGCTTTAATCCTAGGTTTTGTTTGCCCTGTTCTTAATCCTGTTAATTAGATTTTGCTTATTTCCAAGTAACTCACTTCCAAATTATTATATTTGCTGCCAAAGTTGCATTGTTCATTACATTGTTTGTAACATTCATTCTTCTTAGCAGTTTTAATATAAATAAAATTCTTGCCAGATATTTTTGAATGAGAGAAAATACTAGTATTTGGTATGTCTGTGCTCTTCACAATGTTTTTACAGGCATTGGTTTGCAGATCCTAACTGGACTAAACTGCTTTATACCTCCCTCAGATTATGGAAATGCAGGGATTTATACAAAGGTGCTTATGTGGTAAAAACCTGGGTCTTGTGAGATGTGGAAAATTGTATACTTTTGAAATTGTCATACTTTAGAGTTTGCATTCCTCAAACCAGTGCTAATCACTAAATTATATGTGCTTAACTCTAGTTTTTCAGTCCAGTAGGTGTTTTATTTGTATTATCAAAATAACTTCAGTTCCTCAAGTCTTTTTTAAAACTAAGTCCATTCCTGCCTGTACTACATTCTTTATTTGTTTTGCTTTGTATGACTGGGCTGATAATTAAGGAATGTCTAACAAAATCAGAGAAAATAAATTACTCCAGCAGCACTAGTCTGGTTGTATTAAATCATTACATAAACAAATAAATAATGATACAGAATCTTATCATTACTTTGATTATGTCATTTGCTGATACATATATAATGCATTTCTTTTTTACATGTCACTGGATGCTTATAAAGAGTAAGTAGATGATTGTAATCAAAACAATGATGAATCTCACACTAATATCTGTTATCTTCATTCAAAGGCACCCTGAAGCACTTTGCAGGCTGTTATATATAGGAAAAGAAATTAGGAATAGAAAATTATGCTGAGATTTCATCAATATCTCCTGGTAATAATTACAGGATTTTATCAGATTCATTCATTTCCCATTTGGCTATTAATAGGAATTTGACACTCTCTGAATTCAATCTTTATTCTTTATTCTCTTGAGGGGATTTTCTTTGGTGAGGAAAAACTTTAGAGCCTTTCTCCACTCTATTAATGTGCAAAGTCTTTAAATACCGTCAGAATTATTATCACTTGCAGGAATTGAGTGTTCAAGCTGTGATTATTTCTAAGTGTGTTGTTCAAAGTCAAGCATAATAATCGGTCTCTGGTTTAAAACTTTTTGATTTTGTCAGCACTGATTAGTATGTCCAGAGGAACTACAAGTACATTAGAAAAGCATAAGAGAGACATTGGGTCTCCGAGTCTCTTTGTCTTACTGGTGCATGTGTGGGCCAAAAATCATCATTATCCCATTTTTGTTAAGTGCAAAAGAACTACCCAGGTTCTGCTGGTGAAAACGCAGCTCACGGCTCTCAAGTCTTAGTTCAGCACTCCCAGTCCTCAATAGTTTTAGTGCAGGAGAAAATGCTTTGCCATAATGGTGACACAAGTAAGGGATGACCAAAAAATAAGGCTATTTCTGAAAAGAATTCTAACATTTAGCTTTTACTGTCATGGCAACAGCTTTAATGTGACCATATCACTAAATACAAAATAAAATATTAAAATGAGTAAAAAATTATCAGTAAAAAGGGGGGAAATTGTTACAGCTCCTTTTTATTTCCTTCAAAAAAAAAAAAAGTGAAAGCTATTGGTGACAGGAGAACTGCTGCCCTTTATCATTCTGATTTTGAGCTGAAATATTGGCTGGTTTTGTGAGAGAGGCAAGAAAGAAAAAAAGGAGAAATGCCAATAGTTCTATTTTTACTGCTCTTCGAAGAATCCTGTATTTTAAGTAGAAATATACAACTTTAAAGTGTTCTTTGAAGGAGTAAAAATCAGCAGAGAAAGCCAGTCTCAGGGGAAAACCTGAGAAAGACTAAACTGATGACCTACATTTGTCCTCTATTAGAAAGGAATGGGACCCATGCACGTAGTCTTTAGCAGTGATGAAGATTAGGTCTACATACCTGTCTTTGTTATTCACTTTTTTCTTTCTTAAATGGCAAGTCCTTTAATCTTTCTTCTCTTATACCGCTTGTCTCCAAACTGGTGAAAAGGATGCCTTTGTAAAGGGCATGAGGATCTGGGGATGAAAAGCAACATGCTATGAGCCAGCACAATGTGCAGGAGCAGCCTGCCAGGGTTCCTGCTCTCCATTTTACTCCCTTTCTATCCCTGTAGCAACCTCACCGACAGAGCACCTGGTGTAGCTGTTTCCAGCCAAAGAGGGTTAATGATCTCAGAAACTCAGAGTCACATAACACAAAGGAGCAAGTTCTCTGAAGGGGCAGAACACACAGATTAAGTAAAACAGTCACCTGCTAATTGAAAAATTCTAGCAATTAAATCTCTAATTACTCTCTTCATCACAGAGAACAGACACTAGTTCCGGTGAACTGTTGTAAAATGTGATGGTTGTTTTCTTAACTAATTCAGTTGTGCTTCTTTTTGAAAGAATGTTTTGCTTTCCATCTCTTCAGATAGGCCAAATAAAGATGATGACTGGAGATGCTACAAGAAAACAGTACAGTCCTACTGGAAGACGCTGAATATTACCACAGATCATGCAGATCTCTGCTGCACTGCCCAGTTATTAGCAATATAATGAGTATGACCTTGGAGTCATCCAAGTTAGAGATGAAAAAGACTTTAATTTTCCTGAAATCGTTACAAGTTCTCAGTTTTAGTCATATTGTGTGGTTCAGTTAACTTTTCTAGATACTGAATTCATCCTTCATCCTGTGATATTTTTGTATAAAGGAATTGATTTTTTAGATCAAAAAGTTCCTTACTTCAGATACCCTGTTACATGGCAGAATAGAGCTAAAGAGAAAGAGTCGGATATGGGAGGGGGAGGGAAGAGAGAGAAATAGATGGATTTGTTTTGTTTCCTCTTTCTTTTCTGTCAAAAATTATAATCTTAACACTGTGTATAGGGTATTTTTCCTGTGTGGATAATTCAGTCTTTTCTGTGTGTTTATATTAAAAAAACAAATAAAAACAGAAATAAAAGAAAACCAAAAATAGAAATCAACAAAAAATATTAAAACCAAAAAAAAAACCCACAAGGTAAACCAGTTGAGAGATAAAGTACCTCGTTAAATATTGCTTATTTCATTTTCTATTTGGAAGAAAGAAAAGTATGCCAGTTGGGTTCATCTCTTGAAATAATAAATGGAAAATATTGTAATTGTGCACAGTGATTTGGTCTAAGCATGAAAAATGCACTAGGTTACTTGCTGTAGTTCGAATGAGGAGCTCTAAGACATGACTATAAATTGAATTTTTGTGGTCTTGCTAACTAAAATGGGGTTTGAGCTGCATGCAATTGTTGCATACCTATTCTTTTGGTACTTACATCAAGGAAAATAATTTCATATGCTTCACATTAGCTTTCTTTTTGCGTCTATGTAATTCAGGAGGAAAGACAGTGGGATGTTGTCATACAAAGAGCACCTACCAGTCAGCCAGGTGGTGGTTGGAGACCTTGACCGGCCTGGGTCTGAAGCCAAGGTATCCGTGGGTCCTGTGCGCTGCCAAGGAGATCGTAAGTTCTCTGGTTTTCTTCTGTTTACTCCTGAGTAGAAACTCAGTTGGAAAGGGGTAACTTTGGAGACACCCCATGGGAACTCATGGCTGTCTGCTCAAAAGACCTTTTGCTATGAAAGTGTGCTGTGATTTGGGAAATTTTGTCTATAAAAATACACCTATAATGGCATACCTTTTCATTTAAAATATCAATATTCTTGTTTATGGTAAATTTGGCAACTTGGTTTTTTCAACTAAGTTTATGTAGATAAGTGGTAATACAGATTGCATAATAATATCCCTCAATATCTGTCCTTCTGTTGGGTGCTCTTGTCAGTGTCATTACCATTACTATGCTTATGCGATATAAATGGTAGCATGATGGCAAAACTCATCACTGTAATCTCTGGTTGTAGGCGTATAAAGTTTGACAAAATTGTCTTCAGATGCTTACTGTATCAGGATTAGATGTTTCCATGTAAAGCATTGGGAGTTTTTTTGTTGTAGTTTCTGGTTACCAGGCTAGGAGTAATAAGAGGTGGACATCCTCCAATTTGATCATCCAGTGATAGTGTAAATCAATATCATGTATAAATTTCCACAGCACACACTCTCAAAATTGGAAGGCACTGAGGAAAATTGTAGTCTTGCTTGTCTGTTTTATATTTCAGGAGGTGAAATTCACTACCAAAAGCAGAGCAATGTTTAAGGCCCTTCAAAATCACACTTCAAAAATTCAAACTCAGTGCAATTGACATACGTTTTATTTGTCCGCTGTGTTTTAAGGCAGTTCTCTTATAATAGGTGCAGTAAGGAAAGGTTGTCTGATTTAATTTAAAACAACTAATATTTGTGTGATCCATAAATAATACAAAACACATCCACAGTAAAGAGTACTATAATTGAGCCTGTAAGACTGAGGTGATGCAGAAATATTCACGTCATATATTTGTTGCTTGTTATTTATGTTGTTTGACCAATCACAGGTCAGTCTGTGTTTATTTGTGTCTCAGTTATGTTTTATAAGCTTTTTTGTAACAGACTTTTACAACTGATGACAAAAAATAACAAATATTATTTTTCTTGCACCCATATTCCTTATATCCTGAATGTTCTAGAAAAGTTAGTCTCTAAAGGATGAGCCATTTCTAAATATAAGTATAAATGAAACCTCATCTGAGCAGGCAATAGCCTTTATTAGAGTGTGACTGAGTGACATAGCCTTTTGGGAAACTGAAGAGGTGTATTTGTACCATCCTGATTAATTTAATTTTCTCCATGAACTTTGCAGATATGATTCATGTTTTTTAAAAAACTATGCCTATGAATAAATTTGAATTTCCTTCCATGACCATCTATTATTTCCAAAAATCGGTATCATTTTTCTCACGGGAGATAATATAGACCCCACTCCTTTGCAAAGCCCCTGTTTTATATTCCCAGAGCATTTACTAAGCATTCCCCTTTGTATTCTTTCTTAAATGTATACAACAGCTGCTGTTTCACCTTGTGGAAAACAAGGTTTCTGTTCCAGAGAAAATGCCTACATTTTAAACTGTGCTTTTGTTCCAAATTTGAAGATCCAATGTACTAAATTTCTGGGAAAGGATAAAAACCAACTACAACAAACCACAAACCAATTGATTTTCGATTTTGTGGCTTTTTTGTATATTCCATGCATCAAAACCAACATTTTTAGTATTAAAGATGTTGAGTGTCATCACAGCACAGTTCATGTCTTCAGTTAAATTGTGTTAATGAAATTCAGTTATAGTTATGAAGACTGTCTAAGAAATACAGATTTTTGTTTTGCTTGCAAGGAAGGTGGGAAAAGTAACCAGTCAAATAAAAATGTACCTATTTAGAAGAATATCTCATTGTGGTTGCAGCCAATAATGTGACAAGTTATCTTGTCTTGCCCTGAAGGTTGTCCATACCATGTGTTGCATTAACCCATAGTCCAGTGATATTTTGCAGCACATGAACCCATATTTTCCCACCAGAATTACAGTATAACATGCCACATACTTCATAGCTAACTCTGTGTAACGTCTAGTGACAGTGGCATGTCACCTAGGCCAACTGGCAGCTACACCTGAGTGCAGGAGTAAGAGTACCACAGAGCTAATGGCCTTTGCAGTCCTTAAAAAGAGACAGCTGAAAGCTTAATATCTAGGGAAAAAAGGATTAAAGAAAGCAAAGGTATTTGTCATTTCATACAATTCACTTTCTCCCATGCTTATCAAATTGTCATGAATCCATTAATCAGCAGAGACCACAACAATTAACTGTTCCTGCACTATTGACTGACCAAAGTAAATCTGAAAATCATATGAGTGTAATTTGTTTTGACACACATCAAGGAAGATTGCAGAATCATAACTATTTTCCTGTTGCAAAAATAACTATATTCTTCTTTCAGAAATATAGGTTTTATTTTGGTCCCACAAATGACTATTGCATTTTTCTTTTTGCCTGATTTATTACCTGATTAAGGCTCTTCTTGAATTGTGGCCATTGTTGAAGATAAGGATCAGGAAACTGGTTTATGCATGATTACATTTATTTGTGTTCCAGAAGTATTTTTCATATTTAACTGCACCTCACAAAACACTACTTGCATTCTGAAAACTAGTCAGCAAAAATGGCCTTTATTACCCCTCTAAAGATCTGCTTAAGCTGCCGTATTCTATC